ACTTGCATTTTTGATATATTTTTCATATATACATATATACGATTTATATAAATATATGAAAAATTGATGTGGGTACTCAAATGAAAGGTCTCGATGTCGAGGTGAGCTTATATTTTTAAAAGTGTCATTAGTTCTCAAGATACAAGGTTATTTCTTAACTATTGACATTTTTAAAGATATAAACTCATTCCGATGTTACACTCATCAAGAGCTTTCATTTGAGTACCCACATGCATTTTTGATATACTTTTCATACATACATATATATAATATATATAAATATATGAAAAATTGATGTGGGTACTCAAATGAAAGGTCTTGATGAGTGTAATGTCGTAGTGAGCTTATATCTTTGAAAATGTCAATAGTTCACAAGATACATGGTCATTTCTTAATTATGTATGTAAAGATAGAACATTTTCGAATGCAGCCTTAATACTTATCATCATAAATTGACTAGCTGAAGAAATAAAAATTTTTCTCACAGTAACTTTCTTGTTGGAAAATATAATTAATTGAAATTTTTAACAAATTAATTTCTTATTACTACATTGCTTATTTAAAAAAAAAAAATTTTTTTTTCTCAGTACAAGAAATCTATATTTAATTCAAGAAACAAGTTTTTTGTTTTGACCAATAATAATTTTTTATCATAAAAAAATTGTTTTTATTGAAAGCAAAAAAATTATTCAATCAATAATATTTACATGAGTAGACATTGAATAAAAATTACCACCCTATTAATTTTTTCTACCGAATAAAAAAACTGTACGTTTAGCATCAGAAAAAAAAATCGATTCCAGTTAAGAAAAGCGTACATTTTAAAATATCTTGACTCAGAATAGCTACTTGAAATTTCAATATTAAATTCCGATGAAAGTTTTCAAAAATCAAACTGAAAACAAAAGCTTCACAGAAAAATTATTTTGTGAGTTGAGAGTCTTTAAATTCTTTGAGACCGCGGAGAAAATTATAAAGTTGGCTTTTATGTCTGAGCAGTACTTTTTTCAGCAATATTTGTCTATTGTATTGTCTGCTAAATCTTTTGTTCTTAACTGAGAAGTATCGATTGAAAAATGTCCTTGAAACAAAACTATTATAGCCTGAGTAAGAGCAAATGAAAACACAAGAGTTATCCTTAGTCATACATTGTAATGAAAAGAATTTTCAATTCTGCACATAGAAGATCTCTTTAATCAATTTATTTCTTTCTCTTGATAATAATATAAAAAAAAAAATATTTAAAAAATATATAAATAGAAAAAATATTTCAGACAATATCAATTATCAAAAAATTAATTTTTTTAATTATGTATATATAATGTTTTTGAAGTATTTTTTGGCAATCATTGTTACCTGAATCAAACTTGCTGTCAGGGAAGACTGCAAAATTAATTTGTACCTGAAAAATCGTCAAAATTACAAGTAACTCCGTAACTTTCTTTTACTATTATTAGTTTTTCATGATATTACACAATTGTTACTGTTGTTTTCTCCTTGGTTTGATTATAAAATAATTCAGTTGATAAAATAAAATAAAAAATATAAAAAAAAAAGTATCTTTTAATCGGTACTTATGTTTCTTTAAATTATATCTTAAACATTTATTTTATCAATCTAAAATACTTTTTATATTATATTACAATATTTTTTTTCAAAATTTATTCACTCTTTTTTTTACTTGAACAATACGATAATTATAATTAGCAACCTTGCAGTCACTATGTGACTGCCGTGACTTGTGAATTAAAGAAAAATTAAAATTTTGCTTTATTAAATAATGACTTTTGTTACATTGTAATGTACTTTCTTAAATATTGAAGTTTTTAAAGATATAAGCTCATCCCAATGATACACTCATCAAGAGCTTTCATTTGAGTACCCATATGCATTTTGATATATTTTTCATATATAAATATATAAAATATATGAAAAATTGATGTGGGTACTCAAATGAAAGGTCTCGACGAGTGTAACTCCAGGATGAGCTTATATCTTTAAAAATGTCAATAGACCACAAAATACAAGGTCATTTCTTAATTATTGACATTTTTTAAGATATAAACTCATTTCAATGATATGCTCATGGAGACCTTTTATTTGAGTACCCACATGCCATTTTTTATAAATTTTATATACATATGATATTTGTAAAATATATAAATATAAAAAATATATGAAAAATTGATGTGGGTACTCAAATGAAAGGTCTCGACGAGTGTAACTCCAGGATGAGCTTATATCTTTAAAAATGTCAGTAGTTCTCAAGATACAAGGTCTTTTCTTAATTATTGATATTTTTTAAGATATAAGTTCATCCTGATGTTACGCTCATCAAGAGCTTTCATTTGAGTACCCACATCAATTTTGCATATATTTATATATATCATATATATGTATATATGAAAAATATATCAAAAATGCAAGTAGGCACTCAAATGAAAGCTCTTGATGAGTGTAACATCGAGATGAGCTTATATCTTTAAAAATGTCAATAGACCACAAAATACAAGGTCATTTCTTAATTATTGACATTTTTAAAGATATAAGCTCATCCCAATGATACACTCATCAAGAGCTTTCATTTGAGTACCCACATCAATTTTGCATATATTTATATATATCATATATATGTAT